GTGTTGAGCCCAAAATAGAAATTTTGATATTCTATGAAAAGTGCCCAACTGGTGGAGGAACACCATTTTATTTTTCTGATTTTATTATTTTGACAAGTGCCTGATTTCACTACAATGCCACAAGTTTGTGAATGACTTAACACTTTTATTAACAAATCAAGGCTCATATAGTGAAAAACCCTTGGGTACCGCACCAGTTTAGAACGCTGAAGACATGGTAGAATTTTTTTAATTGAAAAAAAAACTTTGGCAGCCCAAGAAACACGTTTTCAAAATTCGTAGAGGTTTACCAACAATTCAGTTATCATATAGAGTGACTTCCTTTGCTGTTTACTTCAGTGCAGTGCGTCAATTCGTTTTTTTAATTATGTTAAGTGTACCTGGTTACGTCGGCGACTAAAGTTGCCTACAGTAGTGGGCGCATACTACGGCCTTGGCGGCTTAAGTCGCAGATGGTACTGTAAATGTCAATAGGTTTTCACTTAGTTGATTTAATAAGGATATTCTCCAGGTTTTATTGTAACATGTGGGCTAGTGTCCTAATTTTATTTCTAGAAATGAACATAACTTGTTTTTCACTTGACCCCTTCAAATGCAAAACAAAAAATAAAAAACTATTCATCAACCTTTAGTGAAATCTAGGTAAAGAAAGTGTTCCCAACTTTTGAAATTATTTATTTTCTTTAAAATGAATTAGGTGATGGAAACGATTGTGCTTTTTTCATTTACTCTGAGTTTTTGTGTTTGTGTATGTTTGTGTGTTTGTGTTTGTGTGTGTGTGTGTGTGCAGTGTGTATTTCAGCTGGACCCCCACAAAGAGACGTACATCCAGGGCCAGAAACAATACACGCTGAACTTTGTGGAGGTCGTGGATGAGCTGAAGGAGGAGGGGTGAGTGGTGGTGATAGTTGTTGTTGGTGGTGGTGGTGGTGGTGGTGTTGTTGTTGTTGGTGTTGTTTTTGTTGTAATTGTTGTTGCTGAAAGAGGGGCGAGTGGTGGTGGTGGTTGTTGTTTGTGGTGGTGTTGTTGGTGCTGTTTTTGTTGTTGTTGGTCGTGGTGGTGGTGGTGGTGGTGGTGGTCGTTGTTGTCGTTGG